TTTATGCATAAGTCAAAAAATCTAACCATATATAACTTTGAAGCAGGACAGTCCCACAACATTCCTTTTCCTGTCTCTTGCCTGCATTCCCCACACTCCTCGATTTGAGCAATGTTGTACCTGAGCGACAGTACAGCAGCAATGTCATGAGAAGCAGTCCGTATACAGAAGACCAGAATGACAGGCACTCCAAGCATGAACCTACTATTACAGATTTCCATCCTCAAATCATTTGCTTATCTCACTGGTATCACTATATATAGTTAGTCAGTGTGAGAATCTTTCATATTAACTGCTAGATTCAAGAATCTTCTTTTTTTAAATTAATTCCAAGGTATTTCATTTTCCTCGGTGCTATTGTAAAGGTATTATTTCTACAATTTCCCTCCCAGTGTACTTGTTATCTGTGTAGAGTAATGCTATTCACTTTTCGGTATTGACTTTATAACCTGCTATGCTAGTGAATTTCTGTATTAATTTTAGTAGGCTCTTGGTGGAGTTCTTTGGGTCTTCCAAGTAAAGTATCATGTCATCTCTAAATAATGATAATCTAATTTCTTTTTACCTATTCGCATTCATTTTATTTCTTTCTATTGTCTAATAGTTGTAACTAATGTTTTCAGAACTATAATGAATTGGAGTGGTGATAGAGGGCATCCTTGTCTTGTTCCAGATCTAAAAGTAAAAGATTTTAGATTTTTACCATTTAGAATTATGTTAGCCATTGGGTTTTCATAAATGGCTTTTACCAGATTTAAGTAGAGGCCACCCATTCCAATTTTTTGTAGGACTTTGAACATGAATGAGTGTTGGTCATTGCCAAAAGCCCTTTCTGCTTCAATGGAGATGATCAAGTGGTTTTCAGTTTTTGCTCTATTGATATAGTGTCTTACATTTATAGGTTTCAAATAATGAACCATCCTTGCACCCCTGGGATGAATCCTACCTGGTCATGCTGTATGATCTTCTTGATGATTTGCTGTATTCTATTTGCTAGGATTTTATTGAGGATTTTGGCAACTATGTTCTTGAAAGTGATTGGCCTGTAGTACTCTTTCTTAGTTGAGTCTGTTCCAGATTTTGGTATCAGCATAATACTTATCTCCAGGAATGATTTTGGAAGGACTGCTTCCTTTGCAATTTCATTGAAGAGTTTGAGGAGTATAGGGACTACATCTGCTGTCAATTTCTTGTAGAATTCAGCTGTGAATCCATCTGGGCCTGTACTTTTCTTTGTTGGTAAGTTTTTAATTACATCTCATATTTCATTGGCTGTTATTGGGGTATTGTGAGTGGTTATATCTTGTTGATTCATTTGTGGTAATGTATACCTTTCTAGGAATTGTCTATTCCTTCTGTGTCTTTTATTGTGTGAGAGCAAAGATTCGCAAAGTAGTTATTGATAATCTTCTGAATTTTCACTGGGTCTGTGGTAATTACACCCTTTTCTTCCTTATTGCTGGTATTTGAGTTTTTTCTTTCCTCTTGTTGATGATGATACCTAGGAGCTTGTCCATTTTATTTAATCTTTTGAAGAAACAGCTTTTTGCTTTGTTAAATTTTTGAATTGTTTTGCTCATCTCAATCAAATTAATTTCTGCTCTAATCTTTATGATTTCTTCCCTTCTTTTGGCTCTGGGTTTAATTTCCTCTTTGTTTTCTAGTTGTTGTAGGTGCAGTATTATGATTTTTTATTTGTCCCCATTCTGTTTCTTAATTTGTGAGTTCATACCCATGAATTTTCCTGTGAATACTGCTTTCATTGCATTCCATAAATTCCAATAAGTTGTGCTTGAATTTTCATTGAATTGTAGATATTATGGAATTTCTTGTTTAATTTTGTCTGTGACCCATTTTTTGCTGAGTAGTGTGTCGTTTAATTTCTATGTTTTTTTTCAGTTAATGTAGATAAAAGTTTATTCTTCCTGCTAGAGAAAAGAAAATGCCAATTAAATTTAACTATTAAACAGCAATCCAAAACATGAGGTTAACTAAAATCCAAAGCCTGGTGCCAACCCAAGGCCGATGCAATGTCATGGATGAGATGGAATACTCTTAACAGATGGGTAGCAAATAAAGTACTGTAGATAAAAACCTCTCTAGAACACAGCTTGACAGTGAATATTAATAGCTTTAAAAATATTCAGATACTTTGATCCAGTAATTCTGCCCCAGCAATTCATTG